CCCTCGCGGCCGTTCAAATCCCAGTTCGCCACCTGGGCGAACCAATCGGGAGGGAGAGATCTGGATCTGGGTCAAAGTACCCCAGTGACAGACAGTGGTGAAAGGGAAAAGAGATTATTCCGGCGCTGGGAGAGAAGGAGGCATATATCTTCAGATTTGCATGACAGTTGATGAACCATTGAAGAACCAGAAGGGTGTGATTTTGGAGCAACAGAATCATCCTGATGGTACAGGGTCCCTCTTTGCAAACGGTGCTCCCCAATTTCTTGCATTCGGGGAGAGGGTGGGGGAATCTTCCGGTCGGGTCCGGGTCTGAGTTCGGCAGCCGCACACAGTCCAAACAAAAAACTCACTGTGCATCCAACATGATCCAACTACAACCATCCTGGAGCAGATAAGAATATGAATCCATCCAAGAACAGGAGAGTTTGTGTCTTGAGAGTCCTTCTGATGTCAACATCCACAGCAAGACAAAAGCGTCATGTGTGCGGATGCATGTGATTGGTGAGGTTTAGCGACCACGAATTGAATAGAGATCGTTTCTACTTTCTTTTAGCAGGTCCAGCATCACTGGTGTTTCCGTTTGCTGCAAGGGGGTGTCTCAATAGAACGCAGCTCGCCAGCATCACATGAGAGTTATGCATCTATCCCACCCAGATGTCTTAGCAAGATAGCCATAGACTTCAGTGACTGGTTTTGTTGTGTTGTTTCTCCCTTTCAAGTCGCATGATGAGCTATATACAGAAGCTAGCAGCTACCACACTGTTATTAGCTAGTATCTAACTTCACCAGATTCTGAAGGCAGACAGAGGTAGCACCATCACTCGAACAAGTGCCAGGTGACATCCCCCCGCGAGGCAGATGGGACATGAGTCGTCAAGATGCATTTGTTTTAAGATGTATTTGTAATGTGACATGATGTGAATCCAATATATATATAATAATTACATATGTCGGTACTTCTATAAAGTACTTTTATAGTAGAATGCAGGTTTTAGTGTTGCCAGCACCTTCCCTCATGGATGTTTGCTGTCCAGTTGGAAGAATCCCAGACCACCTCCCTTTACGCCGGTCACCGAGACCTTCGGCAGCGTCGTTGTCGGTCGACCTGGTGAGTCGATCGGGGGTGCCTATTGGAGTGCCAATTGGAGTCACATACTCTCTTTAACTCACAGAATCCAATCCCTATCATGCCTCTTCCAGGAGTCACTTGCAAGGGGTGCCTATTAGAGGATAGGGGTGCCCAGCTACTCCACTCACTTGTTCCTAGTAGTAATGCCAGCGGAGCTACGCTCCTAGCTTCTTGTCACGTTCGTAGGATGGCCTCCACCTATAGTAACGTAGCTTCTAGTTAGTTACTCAAACGAGCTGAACTCATTGGTGCGTGGATGGCACCACATGGAACTTGGGTTTGTCAAGTCGAAGTGACAGGTCCCTCCTCCGAACCCGTGAGTATTCCGCCGGGTGTGTGAATCCCCAAAGTCTCGCCCACTGGTGACATGGCAAGATACTTGCTACAACAGACGCCGAACTTACAACAAAGCAGACGTCCGATTGATCAGTTCATTGATCAGATCTTTTGTTGCATTGGTTCTTTGGGGGCGGGCATCTCCGGTTGGTTGTGCACACTTTTCCCTATAATCAGCTGAATCGAGTGTCGTTTGCCAAGATCTGGATCTCGTCAGGGGGCACCTTCCTTTGGCACAGATGGAGACTGAGAGTGCTTCCAGGCATCGGGGACTTACCCAAGCTCATTCGGTACATCAAAAGTGCTAGTAATTCTTAGCTGACCAGAAGCAAATGTGCTGAACTCATGAGTTGTTTCTTGCTTTGGTTTGTGACGTTTGCAGATGTACTGAACCATTTGAACCCTGTCATCCTCCAATCGAAAAGGATTTGTAACTTAATGCTGTGACCAACTAACACACGTGTAGTCGAGACGATTCGAGTGTTGTTCATGTTTGATGTCTTGAAAGCCCCGGAGCTTTGAGGCACGATGTAATGTAGGGATTGCTGCGACCTTTTGGGCTAATGACAACGTAGGTCGAGGTTCTTGGGCGCCTTTTGCTTGAGCCTGTTGCGTGAATCAAACTGAATCCCACCCACAAATACGTCAGCACAAAGTCGATGAGTGGGTCTTGTATGGATTTAAGGATGATATCTAAGCATGGGAATAGCATGGCATGTATGATCATGTATGATTGATTTCCATTCGTTATATAATAGATCATAGAATCCTACCTACCCTCGGTCCGACATCCTTTTCCTTGCTCGGTGTTCTTTCCTTTGCAACGGATGTGACGAAGGGGCCCCGATGATCGCCCGAAGACCGCCGCACATCCGTCGTCTGGGTGGATGGCAGACCTCCTGCATCACCCGCAACAGACGCGGAGCAAATGATGTCATAGCTACGGAGCAAACAATAAAGAAACATCGAAAAATGTCAAAGCTACGTAGTGTAAAGCTACTTGGTGGGGACCATTTCCGCTATTCACAACTTTCATTTTGGCGGCATCAACAACACACAGGTCAATTTAAAACCTTCACAGTCAAAGGGTGAACCCATGTGCAGGATGTCCTCCAGGAATGGTAGTTAGCAGGGGTGAGGGGTAGTGGTAGTGGCGGTAGTGGCAGTAGTTTTGCAAATGTGTGAAAAGGTATCCTCAGTCAGTGGCCCTTGTTTTGAATACCTCTCCCACACTGCCTGTCCTAAAGTGGTATGGCATAGTCTAAGCGGACGCGTAGTTCTTCCACTTTTGAACATGGCTTACAATGCCCTACGCACTGGAGTGTTTCCAAGCAGGCAACGATGCTTTAAAGTACAATTTAGCTTTGCATTCATGTCCAACGATATAAAAGTATGTAAAGTATAATAATATATATATATATATGTTGTTGGGTTTGAAGTCGCACCCACATAGAGCAATGACGTAGCTGCCTCGTTTGTGTGTTCTACAACTCTTTCTTGGGCGCTCAACAACCCTACAGCTCGCGCGTGAGTCGGCTGCTAGCGAGTTGGGCCAGGCTTTCAGGTGTGTTTCGCCGGGAAAGAAAGCCGCGGATTGTTGGTTTGGTTCCCTGGAGCTGCAATTTTTTGGGGTGTGACATGTAAATCGAGGCTCAAGTCAATGATTGGGGCGCGGTTTTAGCAAACATGTCATTTGGTTTTGGCTCGCACACGCAATGGATGCTCCATCCGGTCCAAATGTGCCCAGCTTAGGGCGGAAGCATTGAGCAAATGAAGTTAATTGGTTATGACTTCGACTCAGTAAGTTGAAGAGGTTGTTGTTTCTTTTGGGCCTTTAGCCTTCACTTGAGCTATGACCATCCCCCAAATGGATGGTGACCAGGGATTGCAACCATCCAGTAGGATAAGGGCTTTTCTGCCAAGTGAACTGCCACCCACTTGATTCTTGCTTTAAACAGTAGTGGCAAAGCCCAGCAAGACCTGCCGCCCAGCACGCCGTCCTGACGCATCTCATCAGCACCACGCGTGAAGTTTGCATGTGCGAATTTGCGGAGTTGCAGAGCCTTGATGCCCGAAACCAATGATCCCCCAAAGGAAACCAGCCAGCTGGGAGTTGAACACTCCTTGTACAAGCAGTGAAGTTAATGTGAAGTTGTGAAGCTTATGTGATTAAGAATAATGATGAGGGCCGCTTTATTTACAACAAGTCACAGTTGATATGGGTGTGTATTAAAACAGGGAGACTTCCCAGTTCGACCCCCCTTCGAATGGCCATATAGTTTACACATTGGGCCAGGGGGAATACACACCCAAATAGATGCATCTTTCCGTTACCTCTGCGAGGCACTGACGCACTGCGCCTGTGCCTCGTGCCTCGGACCCTCCGCGACTGCTGCTCCTTTGTAGGTAGGATTGGCCGAAGACCGGCTGCAGGAGAGGAGCCTTCGCCCATCCGGGCGATTTGTTGAATAACCCACCTCAGGTGGACCTCACATAGACGAATGATATGGATCATATGGTTCGAAGTGTGTGTTTTCTTTATGCACTTTATGCGCTTGATAAGTCCTCGGAAAAGTGGTTGAGATGTGGATGTCTTTGTTTGCTTCGGATTGCTGGCTACATCTAGCAGAAAAACAAACCAGGGCCTTGAGGGTGGTTAGACCGGGTGGTTAGACGGTTAGACCCCTCAGAAAGTATGCAGGTTTCATCCCAGGTTGTGAGCTGTCAGCTGTCCAGTCACACTCCGGCCACAGTGCCTTCGGCCTGGTGCCAAGTTGAGACTGTTTCAGGCTCCTGCTTCTGCTTCGAATGTATTATAACCCCCGTTCTCTCAACCCAATGCGTGTGGGCTTCGTGAGCCGGAAGCCGGCGACAGTGAAACATGAAACGCGCAAAAGGGGAGTTGTTTCAAACATCCTGTCGCTGGTAGTTGCTTCTTTCGGAAATCCCTGTCGGATTTTGTCCAGTTCGTTCTGAAGGCAAGGTAGTTGCTTCACGTTGTTTTTGATGTGGTGATTCTCCATTCAGCATCAATTTCCGGTCACGTGGTTTGTTTGCGCGTTCGGCTGCTGAGCGTTTAGTTCCTGGTGAGTCGTGAGAGATTTTCTGTGCGCTTCTGCAGCACGGGCTTGGGCTCACTTAGTAGCTGGCTGGAGCTTGGAAGCACTTGAACGAGTCCAAAAGCATCTTGGCATGTTAAGACAAACGGCCGAAAGATCAATCAACAGGTGAAACCACTGACTATAAGAGGTGTCCGGATTTAGGGAATTCACCAAGTTGACGAAAGCGGTTGGGTGGTGGTTTGGAGACAGGGGAGCAAAAGAAAGACAATTCCCTAACCACACGTGGTGGATGGAATGCATCCAATCGTGGTGGATGGAAAGCAACAGTGTGCTCTCCCGGGGCATGTGTTTTTGTAGCTAATTTGGCACGAAAACCCAGGCAAAGCTTTTCAAATCTGTTCAATATCATTCTCCAGAAGAGAGTGAGCAATAGTTCATCGGCATTGTTGGCTGCCCGATGGAGTTCTGTCATGGCAAAGGCCGATGCTTCTGAGGCCAGCTGCGGGGAAGAGCTGAATCCTGATCCCCAACAACTTAGCTGCTTGGGACTCTCCAAAGCAGGTTTCTTTCCCAGCACACAGCAATACTGATTGTTGATGAATCACCCCCTGACTAGAGTGGATTTGATGAATCAACAGTTCACCATTAGGTTTCAGTAGCCTCTCACCCAGCAATTTTTCGGATGACCTCACGGGCCTGACTAGGCCATCCTTGTGGCAGCCCAAGGGGCCGAGGTGGACAAACGCGAATCCCTCCAGGCGAGTGGCAGAAACCGTTTCAGACAAGCCATGGCGAGTGGTGTGACATCGCAAGATCCCAAGCATCGAATTCTGCAGCCGAGCGTGTGACATCGCATGTAGAAATCGCAGGCCACTTCCGTCACTTCAACCAACAAGTTCGGATAGTTCAGCATGTTCATTTCTTTTCAGCTTCAAAGTGAAGGATGCAGACTTGAGCTCACCCGACAGACCTGGCGGGATGATTGGGTCGAATCGGAGGCCGATCGACTTTTCCAATTGAGCTATCCCCAACTGGCAAACTGCCTGGCGTTCAAAAAAGCAAGGGGCACACCGCACACCGCCGCACACCGCCGCAGTTCCTGGCGTTCACCAGGTTAGAAAAGAAAGGACGGGAACCCAAGACGCATTCGCCATTCTGCGTTTTCGTGTGGCCCAAAGCTGCAGGAGACCTTTAAGGAAAGCTGCAGCAGAAGTTCTCTTTGTTGGTTTCCTTGCCATATCTCATCATATCAAATCTCATAATATCTCATATATATATATATATGTATAGCATCATAGCGACTTGAGGCTGTTCTGAATCACTGTTCCGAATGTGCCGACCACAACAACCCACCCCGCCAGAAAGACTGCTTGGGTCTCCATCATCCTTGATCGAAGGTGATCGATGCCAGGTGATTTTGGCGCGCCTGGATGCTTCAAAGAGCCAGACGCTTCTCTCTGGACAATGGCTTGAGGAGATGGAGATGGAAATATGTGGACATCGATTGGGTGATCCCGGTGTATCCATGCCAGGCTAGGCTGTGGGTCATGGCACCTGGAGCCCTGGTCACCCTGGTAGGTTGACCTTCCCAGTCTATTTTGCTACTTCTACCTGTGGCCAACCAGGGTGTCCCGGTGCCATGACCCATATCGACACTCCATGGGACTGGCATATTTACATACATTGGGGTGGTTGAAAAGGGCTTCATGCAGGCATATGTTTCACGTTATGTAAGTTATATCACCAATGGAAGCCCCTACGCTACTAAGGGACCTCCATTGGACACCCCTTGAAGGTCCAGGTATATGTCTTTGGGACGACGTGGGTTCCATTTAGGCCCTAGACATAGGGAGAACTTCTCACGTCGAACTATCATAACCGTGGCTTCTCACCTTTTCCTTTGACTACATTGATATGGTACAATACCTGTATAGATATCCAAACATGCATGACTTACTCTCCCTGAAACTCAACGTGGAAGTCGGAAAACCAGTTGCTTGTAGAGGAACATGGTCTTCCAAGGGACCATTTTCCACTTCCTTCTATGTTAGTTCTTATTGTGTATACATGATCCCTGTCACTTTGATTCTCGGACTGGTGTGGGGTCAGCGTTACTGCACCTTTCCACGGCAATGGTTTTGCAAGCTTCAATCTTTGCTGCGAGAATCAACCAATGTTCGAGCAAGCGGATTGGCAAAATGAGGGAAAATCCAACTAGTGCAGGAGAAACCCTCAACTTGCTGCATGCAATTGCTAATCGATCATTCATCAATCTATCCAGTGCAGTACAATTTGGGATCGTGTCGTTTGTTTTCATTCACGATGCATGCATGCGACAGGGTTTATGGAACAGACCCATGCCATATTGCACCTTCACATACATGCACAACATAATAAGCATCTTCAGAAACTTTGTGAAGCACCCCTGGTATAGTGGAATGATGAAGGCAATGTTGCCTACAAGTTGCCATGTTTGTCGCAAGTGTTGTTTCTCACTTCTCCAGGTTTCCCCATGAACATTCACTCCAACGGTCGCAGGAGCCCTGTCAGATGGCCAGTGATGGCTTCACACACTGCAGGATTGCACGTTTTCTGGCGGGCAAGGCACTGCACGTGAATGGCGGGCAAGGCATGACGCCTAGGTTGATGGCTGGGTACCTCTCCAGGGTGCATGTTCATCGTGTAATTGATGGCGAACATCATGGCATGCCTGCAGAAGTGACAGTTAACATGATCAAAAGAACTACACTCCCTCGTTCGCATCATGCAAGTGGATGTCATAGCCCCCGGAAAGACCATGGTCCACTTCCGTTGGCGGTGGCGGGGGTCTGAGACCATGCGGGCAGACGTGGCCCGTATGCTGGTGGCCTGCCGTTTTCCATGAGTTCCTTGGTTATTTCAGTGCTCACATGAGCAGGGAAAGCCAGCTGGGACTCCAGACCTAATCACACGCTTACTTACTGTACCCTGAAGATCAATCTCAGGTCTTAACCCACACCCACTGCCTTAAAGTCTTCGATCTTCGAGCCCAAAATCAAAAGACAGAGGCACCAGAAAAAGAAGCGAAGCGGCACACAGAGTGGCTTCTCAGACGTGGTTTCTCAGAGTCGCTTCACAGGACGCAGGAAACCAACAAATAGTTACCGAAAAGGACACCGTGCGAGCCTTCCGATGCCTCCAACGCTTCGGGTGGCGCGGCGCGTGGCGCACGTGGCGCGTGGCCACATCGGTCGCCAGGACGGTGAAGTCCCGGCAGGTCCGGCGAGCTGTTCACCCGAAGCCCTTCGGTCCAGGCAGATCGAAGGGGAACTTCTTCCAGACTTCAGGCGAGTCCGAACGGACCCCGGGAACTCCACGGGTACCCTGGACCCTTCCTGTTTGGGTTTTGCCGGGTGGGTGCGATGGAGTGAAGAACCCTTCCGGGGAAGAGGGTTTATATCGTTTCCTTCGTTCAAGCGAAATGCAAGTTCTGCCGAGTCTTGAATGCCCGGCCAGACTCGGCAGAACTCGCTGAATTCCTCCAGATAAAGAGGATCGGAACTGGCAATTAAGGATTGGCCGGATTTGCAGTTGTGCGTTTGCTCAGGATGGTTCCCATGACCCATGGTTTGAACGACGTTTTTCTGTGCTTTCACTTGAAGGCCATGGTTATGGTTCCATGGGAAAAACGAACACAACCTACACAGACTTTAAAACTGCTATACGGTTCGTTTGAGGGTGTGATGCCATGGTCCATGGTTTTCAGAGTTCTGCGCGGATTACTCAGACCCCACTAGGACCTGCTGCTGGATGACTAAGACGGAAGCGTGTTCCGCGGCCAACGGACTCGGAGGTCACTTGCCGCATCGAGACTTGGATTCCTGGGAGCAGCAGAAAGCGATCATGCCGGGCCTCCCGGAAATGGGCGCAGGAGACTAGCGCTGGATGGAATCGAAGTCACCGAAGCTGCATGGATTGACCAAACGGTTAGAAGCCACGGGAGGAGTGATGGGTGCAGGTTAGGCGATGGCTTCCCATGGGCTACTCTTCCGTCAGGGCACCCACAACAATATATTATCGAATTCCATCAAATGTGGGTGCGAAAAGGTGGGTAGGTAGGTTGACATTCGGCAGTCGAGTCTGTTGATTTGCCTCGGGGTCAACCAGATATGGCTCGTTGACATCCCCTACACCGTGAAGCTGACGGACCTGGTGAATACGCAGAACACCCCGCATTTGACCTGAGGCCCGAACGCAGCTGGAGCCAATCTGTCCCTTGGTGATGATCGGCAAATCCGTTTAAGATAAATCATCTTTTTTATTTGCCTGTGTATTCGAAGGTTCTATCGGACTCTATCGGGTATTGGCAGCTTTTGTGAGTGAGTGTCATGTGGGGAAGCAACTTTCGATGCTAAAGGCAATTGTCGCTCAAATGGTCAGAGAGAAGGGCTGCTTTTGGACAGAGGGAGACAAGCTGAAGGATCAGTTCAGTGGTTGATGCCTTGTCCAGTGAAGGCATGAAACACCTTCAACGGTATCAAGTGGTCAAGAGAATGATGCGGCAGAAGACGACAACAAGGAGTAGCCATGGTTTGTGGTCAACGTTACGATAGCTATGAAGATTGCAACTATCCAAAAGAGTGAGTCAGCTGCAGTGCTGAATGCTGCAAAGAAACCGGCCAGGTGGGGATTGGGAAACTACAAAAATACCGCCCCCCCATTGCAGGATGTGAATAAAAGATACTGAGAAGCAGTAAACTGTTGAAACGGTAGTTATACTTTCTTAAACTGGTACTGTCCCGGTAATCCCTGAAGTACTTTGATTGACACCAGGTGCAACTTGACAAGAGAGAAACAGCCACACATGGTCAAATGACTTTAGACAACGCCCGCGGGGCAATGAGGTTCTTATCCGTTTTGGGGCTCTTGCAATTGTCCACTATGGGTGTAATTATAGTCCCTATAGGACCCAGGGCTCCAAGTACCTCCTCAGGAGGTATGACTGGACCCTCTTGGCACCCACCCCAGTCCCAGCGAACCCAAACGAAGGTACGACTGGAGCCGGGATTTGGTGCGGATCGCATCGATCCGTGTGTTCGGAAGAATAACAGGAAAAGACTTGCCTCCGTGTGCCTCTAGGTGTGACCGCTCACAGTGTGGTCCGAGTAGTCGTTGGTCCGCCTGGACCAAGACAGGAACATGTATGGTGCTTGGTGAATTTGGAATTCAAACCACATGTATACCTGGATCTTCCAACTTGCCTTTTGGCTGATTTTTTGGATGAAAAGTCATAAATTTGGCATAGTTGGAAGATCCAGGTATAGACTGATGAATACTCACCTAACTCCCCAAGACTGGTTTTACATCTCCAGGTTTGGGAAGTTTGATTGTACCCAAAACACTTATGCCATATGTGCCTGCATTGCCCCCCCCAACCACCCACCAATTGCGGACGGTGGTCGACCATGGGGCGCTCAGTGCTTTCACGGTACCGAGGCGATGTCCTGTGTGCGGTCGACCATGGGGCGCTCAGTGCTTTCACATGGTGACTTGCAGGTAACTGCTGTTGGCGTGTGTTCCGGAAAGTAGACTCGCTTGATCAATCAAATTCACCCCGTTTGGCATTGCAAAACCTCTTCTGCCTCTGGGGACTATAGCTATATAAGGAATCAAGAGTCTGCATTGAAGATTTGGCGGTGTTTCTTGTGTTGAACTGATTGGATGCTTGGTTTCCTGAAATGGTTCTTCCACCACGCGTTACGCGTGGCGTCTGGCGCCAGCTTGGGCAGGACGGACACCCACATGGCGCGCACCGTCGCGGGGTCCCTGATCGGTCGCCAGGTGGTGCCAAATGGGTTTGAGCGGAGAAGAAAGACAGCACATCACATTTGGACATGATTCGACCTGGAAAGAAGCAACTCTTACCTCTGTGATTTGACTGTGCAAGACCTCAGGTACCACATTGAGTATCAAAAAATATCACTTGTTATCAATCACACCAAGTGCGCATGCGGACGACGCAAGAAGTGCACTTGTTTGCAAAGGTGTCATAGCTTTTGAGAGAGTGGATGTTCTCCATATTAATGGTTCTGATTGTAGCTCATCACATGGCTCCAACCAGTTGATGTCCTGACTTTTTCCATCCCCAGTTTCGCGGGGTGGCCTCAAGCTTGGAGAAAGATGAGAGGCCAAGTGACCTTTTCTAATGTGGGGTCGTCAGGGTTGGAGGGGATTGAATTCGTCCAGCTGCCGGCTCAAGAAAGCTGTAGGGAACCATGACCAGGGAGCCGTTCATGACTATGAGATACTATGAGCACGGATGTGATTCATAAAGCACCTCAGGCTGACCATCTAATATGATGCCGAGTTCATGTGATAGCAGGTGTTGAACAAATAGCCCTGGCTGCCAATAGACTCATACCTTGAACATGGGATTTCTATGGTGTGCAAGCTTGTTTGTTTGAATAATTCTGAATATTGTCTATATAAAACCATCGAAAGTCTACATGACATACTAGTCTCACTCATCAGGTAGATATATAGCCGCCAATTTAGGCAAAGTGTGCTAGACAAAGTTGCAATCTATTCCAACTTGCCGAGCATAAACCTGCGATGTTCAACGGCTTACATCATTCAATCTTCAGTGCAGTTTACGTGGTCCTTCTTCACTCACTTCGATCGCCACAGAGATCGATCTCATTTCGTTGAGGCCAGGGGAATCTGCAAGATTCTTTTCGCTTGGGCAGATGGCATGGTTTTCCTTTTTCCGTGTGGCCGCGCTGTCGTGGACAGGCACGTGGCTTGGCGCGTTTTTCGCTCGCGGAGGGCACCACGGTCACGCGCCGATCATGCCCAGTCACGCGCCGAAAAGGAACCAAAGAATGTATCCATCTCCAATAGGGAAAGAAATGAGGAGTCTGTTGGAAGCATGGCCGGTGAAGCCCCAATATGGCACGTGGATCCCAGACTTGTTATCCGTTCTTGGTGGAAAAGAACATGTGCAGATCACCTTTTGAGCTGGAAAACCCGAAAACCAAACGCTTGTGACCACAGGCTCACGAGCCACAGACGTGAGCAAGCTGCTGCGCCATGAGCGCTCAGGATGACCATAGGCTCGTCTCGGAGGATCTGGCGTGGGCGTTTCCTTGAGAGGGAATTAACTATGAATAACTCATCTCCCGGACGTCCCGGACCTATGCTCATTGCCATTGCACTTTCGTTGCCTCAGTACTGAGACGTGAGATGGTCCTCGGACATCACCTGGAGACAGAGGACACTCGGTCAGACCGTCCTGGGACACGGTCTGTTCGGTCAGACCGTGCGAGTCGCGCAGGTTTGGCGTGTGGTGTTCGTCAGCTCTTCCCCATTCTGCTCTCCTTGGTCTTCTGTGGGGCGGCTGGGTTTGCATGTGAATGCGTTTTGGAGCCTTCAAAAAGAACCCAGACGCTATCAGTGTATGGCACATTTGGTTACATTATGTTACATTCATCCCTGAAACCACCGCAATGTATGCAAATTCCATACATGGAGCGTATGGGAAGGTTTCTTCCAGTTCACTCTGGAAAATTGAACTGCATCGAGTGAACTGAACCCCATCGATTTGGTGGGTGGCCTGCGTGTTCCAGAAGCCTGAAGCATGACATCAAGAGTCAAGGGTTGCTATTAAACTTTAAACATGCATGGCAAACTTGTAGCTCTCGCGGCCTTGTTCTGGGATCTAGCTGAGCCAAATGTAAGTGACCAACATCAGAGGTGTTCCCATGGAATTTGTCATGGCATATGCTACCCTTTCACAGCATGCTCTCCCTTTCGCTGCCCTGAATCAGACCCGAGGTTTGGCTTCTATTGCATCCCAGCCTTCCTGGCTGTGAGGGCGGTGCCGTTGCGCGCCCTCCACCGGACGACTGGCTCTCACCGGAGCAGGCGGGCAGGGTCTCAAGAGCTTGGGACCCCTTCTATGACTGGGTTCAGATAGAATTCGAAACAAATGTGTTGGGGCTCCCTAGGGCATAGGAGTTATCACACTCACTGTCACTGCCGTTGGCAAACAGGCAAACAGGGATAACTATCAGTTGGATACGCAAGCACTCTCTCCTCTTTTCTTCTTGTTTGAGAGATCTAGCCATTCTGGACTGGATGGTGCAAAAGAAACATGCAGATATTTGTTGTAACTGCTATGCCCTAGATGGGCTACAGAAACACCAATCGCCCCGAACAAAAATTAAAAAGCCCGAAACAACAAAACAACACTGTTTGGAAAATTATTCGGAAGCTTTTGAGAAAATACGTTTCTTTCGATCGGTATAGGCACTTTGGGTTTGCGAGAGGCTTCCACTAACTACTACCAGCATCAACCACTTTGACAAGGATTGACTTTTCGTTTGTTTTCAGTCAGGATTGGCATGTTGGGCGCTGTTGTGATGGTGCCATTTCACAACCAGATGGTGTTGTTTCTTTTTGAGGTCCTTTTCTTGAACTGTTCTTTGTGCTTAGTCTGCTGTTTGGCACTTTGGGAAGGAAAGAGGGAATCGTATGGACTGGTGTGCCAGGCAAAGGCACTGCAGACAGAGAACACGCAGTTGAGCCTTGAGCTAGAAAAGGCCGGGCGGGAGTCGGCGGGAGAGGAAAGGATGTGAGCATTTGCACCAGACGCGTATTTCTTTGCGACTGATGACTTCGCTGCACAGCTACTAGTTTGGTTCCTGTGTAGCATAACTCAGTTGTTGGCGCGTTGCAACAGTTTGGAGACATCCTACAGGCCAAAGAAGAACTGCAGAAGTTCAACTCCACCTACGGGCAAGTCGTCTCAGCTTATGCCGCGGCCAAGGACGCGGTTCCCTCGGGTTCCACAGTGTGCGATGGATCAGGAAACTGCCAGCTTAGATCGTCCAACTGTGTGGCGGCTTGGCGGCTCAAGTGAACAGGGCACGAGGAACACACCTGGAATGCGAATGCAGAGCGATCACCTTGGGATGGGTATGTCAAAACCTGAAGCCCGACCAGTCCACCATGTAGAAACAACGACCTTGCGAGTGCCATGGCCCACAGCCACCTCACCGCCTGTCATAATAATGTTGACTCTTGATTTATAAACCACCCCATATGAAGAGGGTTATTTATCAAGAGTCAACATTACCCTTCATATTCTGCAGATTCTCCAGGAGCAGCTGGATTCAACCACTGAGATGCTGCCGTTGGAATCGCACAACACTTGTGGAGCACCCTCGTCTTTGGTAGGTGCCGGCTGCCGGGTGGAATGAGCACGATGCTTACGATGTTTACTCGACATAAGAAAACTGTTTGTTTCATGTGCATGAAGTCAGCAAATAATTTGCAATCTGAACATGACCGAACTTAGAACTGAGCGATCTAGGGCTTATGGGTCGTCGTGCCTGCTAGTCAGATTTGTATAAGTGTATAAGTCAAACAATTGCAAGATCGGTACCACAAATTTGTATGCAGCATCCATGAGAAGTTCTTGCACAAAATAAGAGCTGCTCAGAGGCCCGGGCGACTATACTCTCAAAACAACAGCAGATGCCCCTAGTAGCGATGCCAGGAGCCCCTAGTATCGTCCTTGCTCTTAGTAGCAATGCAGCAGATTGTTTACATTGTCCAGTTGTTAAGACTATAATATATATAAGATATACAAGGGCCATAAAGCCATTCTGCCTCCCCTTTTGGCCCTTCACCGCCCCTCACCATCGCCCCCGTTCGGTTGCCTTCAGTCTTCTACCCTCCCACCGTACCGGGAAACCCGCCAGCCACGAGTGGCCGCGTCTACTGCGGCGACGTCTCCTTAGAGCTCGGACGGGCCCGCGACTTCGCCCACTGCGCCTGGGTCGGACGCATTGGATGACAGCGGGGGATCGGTGGATGGGCCGGATGGGTCCGCAACAAGGGGTAACCTGTGGAAACCTGTGGTTCCCCACCTGAGAAGCAACATCAAGTGCAAAAGAATCCACATGACACCCCAAGAAACCCGGCACAAGTCATGAAATGAAATATGTGCGAGGTGGTGGTTTCGGATAGGTTTATGTTCAACCGTTATAATTCATTTTACTTAGGATTATTTTCAGTCATATAGTTGTCAGGTTGTCGTTCGTCAGTTGAAACCACCAACCGGCTTAAAGGGAACGCCAAATCTCTTGGCTCCAAATCCGAGGTCAACTCGCCTGCGCGATGAACTCCAGTTGTGAAGCTCGGCTCCACCAATGATGTAAACAAAACAATGATATATATATATGTTACTGTAATATGTTAATATGTTATCGGTGTCTTCTTTTGCTGCAATATGTTAATATGTTATCGGTGTCTTCTTTTGTTCTGCAACTACTTTGAGACTCTTTCCGGAACAACCATGTGCCTTGTTATTTTTGTGTATATGTTGCATGCAGCCCAGCATGATTGCAACTATATAGTTGCCACCAGTTGCACTGCCATTCTTTGTGCGAGGATGTGTTTGTTAGTTTCATCGCAGAAACGTAGCCCGTAGCTCGGAAGTACTTGTTGCTTTCTCGCTGAAGCCCAAAATCGTGGCGTCCTTCCATGTGCAAGACAGTGTGAGGCATTTGTTTTCGAGTTTCTGCTGTGTGCAGGATGTTTGAGCATCCAAGAAGACAGAGCGTTTGTTTTGTCTTGTCGCTTTGACTGTCGCCTGTCGCTTTTCTCTATCCTCAGTGTTGGAGGATGGTGAGTCAAATCCTGTCAAAATCATTGACTTTTCCATACCTATGACACTTTGCGGCAGCGCGGCAGCAGCTGCAGCAGCTATCCAATGCTGTGAATGTTGTGTCCACAACCCGCATCATGTGCATCCGCTTCTCGAGCAGGAAGGAAGGGAAGAATCAAGGAAGGAAGCAAGGAAAGAATGAAACCAACAAGAATAAAGACAAGAAAGGAAGAAAACCCAGCAGAAAGAAAACACAGATAGATATGATAGATGATGAAAGAAGGGAAATACATAAAACAAATGGTCATGCGACAAATTATGAAAAAGGAAACGACAAAGGAACGAATCAAGAAACGAAAGACAGAGTGATCTTGGAGTGGGCAAAATGCGGAGCAGTTCCAAGAAATTGCAGCGATGTTGCATGCATGTATGTATGTATTTGTATCTCAGATACATATCATCTAAAATCATCTATAAACATATTTCACACATATGGTATAGATACGTGCTTTTTTGCCGTATACCTTTGACTCTGGCCGACTGAACGGCTGGAGTCCAGGAGTTTTACAGCTACTGGAGTTCCGGCCGTCGGACCCGCCTTTGCCGGAAGCTCGAGTGGAGTTTCGGGGGCGTGGCACTGCTTCAGGGTGTTGAATGGGTGTTTAATGGGCCAATTTTGATTCCTAGATGGTGCAACTAGCTTGTAATGTTTTGCTTCTTGGGGGTATATGATTTGTGTCAAAAGATGTCAAAGATTTGGTGGCGACTTCCCATCCATGTGCCAGAGAGCTACGACATGCAGACTGACCAGGCAGTGTGCCGAGTGAGTGTGTTTTGAGTTCCCCTTAATGGGGCACATCATCATGGGCGCGCTTGGCTCAGTACCCACTTTTGTCACCTCATGCGCATTGGTGGGAATTAGAGGGAGCAGAAGGACCTCAAACGGGTGGGTAAACAGACTGGCCACACTAAATCTACAGGGGGAGGATTGCATTCCCACTTTACCAACAATCATCTACACCATGGTCCTTGTGTGTCCTTGGCCCAGCAAATGGTATTGGGAACGTTAAGCACAAAAGAGCCGCTCGATGCCGTCCGATCGCTCCGTTCGGTTCGCGAGGCCAGCCCCGTTCGTAGCTTCTTGTTCCGTTCGTAGCGGGCATAGTTAATCAAGGTTAATCAAAATTTTACAGACCCAAACACCTGGCTTTGACAGCTCTCTGTGATGTTCTTGACAGCTCACCTCTCGACTCGCCCGTGTCATGCGTTCGACTTGGCGTTCGGTGCTTTCGAATGAAGAATCTCCTTGAAGCCCCCTCAGAGCGTGCATACCAGTACTAAGTTTAAGACTTTTCTTCCCGACTGGAGTTATTTAAGCACCAGACAGAGGTAAATAAGATGATAATTATACGAAAACGCACACATGCATGATCATGCATGTGTCTAAAACTTAAGCTCCAGCCATACGTGTTTTCCCTGGAACGCGTAAACAGCATCAGACCGAGGATCACTTCGTCTTGCGATCACAAGGTGAACGTGAAGGAGTTGAACGAGCATGTGGCTTGCAATCCAGAAAGGTGGGCTGTCCGGCCGGCAGAAGAATTCGAGTCCTCAAGGCCACCAGGCCGGAAGCGTGGAAGATGGAAGCGGGCCGAAGAACAGAGAAAACACCATTTGTAACTCCAGTGGTTCGACTGGTGCCTCTTCATCCAGGTACCTCTTTCTCCAGAATCTGTCATCTTTGGAGCAGCCTTTGAACATGCCTGCATCGAGAATTGTGCCATGAACTGGGCAAGCACGGTAGAGGAAAACCACCAAGTTCAGGATTAGCGTCTTGAGGCCACTGAGGGTGCCATGAAATGAGAATGCCTTGGTGCATTGTTTCTGTTGGCATATTTGGCTGATAATCCGATAAACAGGTTTGGGTGCTCAGGTCATATCAAGCTGATACATTTAAAAAATATATATGAGCATATATGGTTGCTAGAGATTCCAGCCCTGGAAGCCAATACAGAATCTGATCATGGACCACAAGGACAATGGCTTTGTGATTTCAGGTCTTGAAGACCTAGGGGCACGGAGAAGGGAGAAGGGAGCCTTGAGATCGTGTCAGAAGCATCTGGCTGTTTGCATCAGAAGTGACAGACTTGCCACCCACATCAACCGGGAACCATGGAAAGTGCTTTGGCATGAATTGTCGCCAGATGAGAGTCTCAGGGCTCCATAGGAGCTAATGCCGAGCAATACTGTAGGAACCAGAAAGCACCTCAAAGGGGACTAATCGCTCACCACTATGAACCTGGCAAAGGCATGATTACTGTGTAAGTGCTTCTCTACAACTCCAGACCATGGGTCATGTTGCAAGAGCTTCTATACCTTTATATATAATCATTGGACGCTTGTCTGTCAATTTGCCGGAGCAATCCTGGATTCAATATTGTGAGCAATGCTCCTTGGGAGGCACCGCTTTGGGGGTGGCTTTCATCAGCTGTGAACTGAGCAAGCTAGCTGCACAAGGTCAAGGCATGGATATAGTTTTGAAATGTTTTGAATGGGCATCTCGGGTTTCGGCGCAATCATTTGCTCGTCTGCATTCATCCGCGCTCTCTAGTACGGTTCGATACCCTTCACTTGTGCAGGTTGCTTCGCAAAACGATACCGCACAAACAAGGATTTACATGGTACTTGCATCACTTGAACGGAATCTAGGCACCGTCATGGTGGATGAACATTTCGTGCTGAGTTGGGATGCCCTGCTTGCGTGTCGAATGCATGCTGCGAGTGCTCACAAACAAGCTTACCAGCCGAGGTAACTTCAACTAACAATCTCTGATTGCTCCAGGGTCACTGAGGTGATCGCTTGTGTCCTGTCAGGGCCAGCATATTATTATTGCTACTCCAAAAGAAGTGTGCGAAGGGACAGCCCGATTGCTTTTGACACGCAGCGTGTCACGAAGCTAACACCAGCTAGCTGGAGTCGTTCTTGCTTTAGCGAGTGAGGGGCTGGAATCCTCGAGAGCTCCGCATCGCGTGAAACTTGGCCGCCCCCCCCGGCGGGCTCAACTCCTCCCTGGGACATCTCTGGGACGCGTGTGTTTCCTTTCATCACCAACCCTCGGCCTCAAGTCGTTGTTGCAAGCCGCGGTGATTTTCAACAGCCGTCGCTTGGAGGCCGTCCGCAGGTGACCATGTGTTCCAAGGTACAGATCTACCAACGTGTGGTGCCCGTGAGCAGCAAGAGGCCGGCGTTGTTTTTTGTTGTTTTCGCGGCGGGGCTGCGAGGGGTTTTTGATGTTTTTAGTTCCGCCACATTGTTTTCAATTACAAAAAAATACCAAAAAACGGTCTCCAGGCCGAGCTTGGTCTTTTTCGGGTCTTTTGTTGGATGCACTTGTTTGCTCGAATGATGATGAAAGAGATGCTGCACGAACATTGGATCTCTTCAGGCTGATACGGCTACAGCAGTTACGGTGTTTTTGGTCACAATTCTCCAAACCCAGCAAGTCCAAAGGACGGGTTAAACTGTTGCGTTAGCGTAAAGGACGCATTTCACCTCCCAACGACCTAATTTTCACAGGTTTTTCACGGCCTTTTCAAGCTTCCAACTCCCGTTTAGCTAAAGCACCGGTTAAACCAGTGCGTTACTAAAGAACTGGTTAAACTGGTGCGTTGACCCACTGGGCAGTGTTGAAATCGCCAGCAATTGGGTATACATGATCAATCAAGTTTCCACAGTATTCAGTGACATGGTGAAATATTGTTCCCACCCACATTCACCTTCCCACCCTGCAACATCCTCAAACACGTCAGTATGGGTAAGGGAAACTGCGCTCCGCGAAGGAGTTTGCTCCAGCTCTTGGGGATGTATGACAGTGGGACCAACTTGATGCTGGCGACAATCGTGAGCGCCTCGGCACGGGCCAGCCAGTGAAGGCGTCGCGGATAGATGTCATTGAAATGTTACACGCGGGCAGCGGGACATGTAGTTTTCACGTTTCAACATGTTGGTTGGCCATCACAAAAGTTTGGACCCTAAGTTTGAGGGTGTTTCTGCGCTCAAACATTTGACGAAGTCTTGTAAGGATTTGTCCTTATCCCATTTGGCGCTGACGTTGTCAGGTATATACCTTGAAGTACCTTCTAGAACGAAACATTCGACAGTTCCTGCAAAAAGCACTACTTGGCTGGTTGGTCCATGATAATCTTTGGTCGGCACTCTTTGCAAGAGGTTTCATTGAAGGTGACTTCTTCCCGAGACAAATTCAAGTGGTACGACCTATGGCAGAAACTATTTTGCCTTGACTTCGCGGGCCCGCAATGTCCCACACGCTGAGAAGGCAGCAAAGCAATCAAATTTGTTACAGTAAAGGGAATCCTTTAGCCACAAATCCGCTGCCTCGTTGGGCTTATCAGGCAACTTCCCGCTTTGCTGCCAGCAAGCCTACCGCCCGGACATCATGGATCTTCAGATCGAAGCCCAAGACCATGGACTCCTGGCACGAAGGTCTCGCGAGAACGCCGCACGATGTGAGAGAGGATGGGTTTGGTTCAGTGGGTGTCGTGATTTTTCGGGGGAACGCAAGTTGCGTCAGGTTTCGGTCGGGTGTGTCATAGTATCGGTTCTTTGTAGAGTGCTTCAGATCACCAGGTCAGACTCTCAAAGCGGTTGGTCAGAACGACGGATCGCAAGGCACGCCTGCAGGGGTCGCCGAGTCCCGAGGCCGTTGCCTTCATTGGGCCACACCCGAGAAGCACGTGAACCCCTTGCAGATGCTCGATGCGCTAAAAGGCGAGAGAGGGTGTCTTAATGTGTCTTATCAATGCCGGTGGTCGAAAAAAAGACGTGGAACTCCGATGCCCATGGAACTCCATCCACTTCAGGACGAAAGGCGGTCATCCCGAGGGAAACACCCTCGCTGCCTTTTCTTTTTTTGGTGGACCCTAGGCCAGAAGATGAAACATTGGGATCCGAAGCTCGTGGACTTTCAGCAGAAGCACCAGATTGTGACTCAGCGAACAACTATAGAAGCTGGTGGCCATGGTGGTCAGCCTTTGGATGCCCTTTTTGTGGTGTGTGTGCCTTGTTTTAGGGTTTCATGTTCGGCGGGTCAAGCTGGTCAACACATCAAAGATCCAATAGGAAAAAGATAGCTATGTGGCCAAGATAGTGATATTGCATATAGATATGATGAGATGTCCTGATTGGCTATGATCCTGTTGAACAAGACCAACAGTCGTGGCTTCTACTCGCCTGCAAGCAAGCTACTCGTCGACGGGCCCTGGCAGAAACCCTGGATTCTCTGACCAGGCCATTGTGGCTTTGGTGAGAGATCCCCTGGCACAGCTGCAAAGCTGGAAGAAGGCCCGGGCCGAGCGTGTGTCGTGCATGCGTGCGTTTTGCGCGCCGAAGGTTGGCCATTCAAAGCTCCGAAAAATGAAAAAGGGACACATCATAGAAGCGTTTTTTTGCATCAGCTCCTACTACTGACTGCAGCTTCAACTCAAGTTTGCCCCACTCAAGTCCTCGTCCTCGTTTGCCCTTGTTGCAAACGCCAGAGGGTTCACTAACTTCTCATAAAACAACTGGCGCCCAACACTTGAACTGCAATGAAATCTGACAGACAATCTCCAGTCAACCATGAGAAACTTTTCGGTGGTCAATCTCACCACTTTTCGCGTGATGGAAGTGCATCGGATTGGCGCAGATGGAATCAGATGGCCTGGAAATATATAGCATGTCACTTCGGACCATGATGCAATTGCAATTGGACTATATGGGACCCTGGATGACTTGTTTGCTCAGACTGAGAGTTACTGCTCAGCTACCCTGATTGCTTGAGCGAGGACTAGCTCAAACCAACAGATTGCGCGGGGAGTTTCCCATCATGCCATCACACCGCCATGAAGTTAATATCGTCCGGGCATGGGGAAGGAAGATTTCACGATTATGAGTTTGAGTTACTGGGTATACCGCACCATCCGTGGATCAAACCCTATTTTATGCTGGAGATGTAAAAACCGACCCGGCCAAAACGAGTGTTGTATACAAATCCGTGTGGTGTATGCGACTTTCAGCTATGTCCGACAGGCCCTGCTGCGTGGGTCAGTAGAGTGGGGTTCATGAGGTTCGTTGTGGATGCTACGGTAACGACAGTGCTGCGTGGATCATTGCTGCAGGAGGCCGTGGGGGTCAAAGAGTGATTTCCGCGTACGCCGGGTTAAGGCACAGGCAAGCAGTGTTGAGTATCGCAGCAAGCTGGGATTCCCTAGCTTGAGCTTTGAGGAATACGAAAGAGGACACACGGTGAGCTCAAGAGTGTGCCATTACGTCTCAGACGCAGAATCCAACTACATTTCAGGGTGGGTGGGTGGGTGGGTGGGCGGGGTGGAGATAATGACGTTTGTTGCGGATGGCAAGCAAACGCGATGTCTATTTCAAGGCCTCAATGCATGTGCAAATTGCCCTATCTAATCACATCTCCACACACACATATATATATATATATTATATGCGTCTAGAGTTTCATCATCCATAATCATCCTGGAGTAGATAGAATCCGGATGAGTCCGGAATTGGTAGAGAGTAATATTTTTTTGAAACACACTTGATGGCTTTTGCCACGAAGACTAAATGTGAAAGAAAGACTCAGATAGAATATTGGGCCCACACATATACAGTATCTACTCCAGGATGTTATTACAGTAAGTCTTTAATTGGTGCCCTTGTTTTTCCTACTTTGTCTTCCATCTTCCTTTTTCTGTTGCTTCTCCCTTTTTCCATCTCCAGTTCCTTTTCCTCCTCTTCCTGCTCCCTTTCCTCTTTCTTTGCTTGCCCTTTTCCTACTCGTCTTTTTGTTTTTCTCTTCCTTATAGTATCCTCTCTATTTTCTTGTTGTTCTTGCAGCCGGCCACTTCTTAAGGACGTACAGTGAACCATGGGCAAAACAAAGGGGAAAGGTGAGCCCGCTGGGCGGTTGATGACACCCATAAAGATAGAATATTGAAAGTCGTTGGTTGAATTTGTCATGTTTTTTGCTAGTCAGAGATTGAGGATGATTGATGTATATATATATAGAATGTTTTTTGAAACAAATATTGACTAAAATCAATGTTCTATCTATGTTTTGGCCTGGACCGAGTTTTTTGAACATGAGGACATCCTATTTACTCCAGGATGCTTAACCATACGTACAACACAACACATACGAACAATTTCTGTTATCAATGTTTGGTCATCACACTAAATGTTGTATATAATTTTGGCCTTAATCCATGCATGGATTTCTGGCTCGCCTTATCTGGAATGTGCGGTTCCTCAGGCGCCTTATGGCCTGGAGCGGTGTGCCAAGCGGAAGCGTTGCGCCTTCCACAGCACCGCCACGGATTGCGCCTGGGGGCCGAGACGGATTGCGCCCCGCAGGGAGTGGTCGTTGTAGCCGGCCGTTGAGACGAAGTAAACCACGAAACCACCAGATCATCCAACAAACTAATGAAGCAGGTCCATCTACCAACGCGCGACAAGTTTCAAGGTCCGGGAGTGACACAGCCCATCTAGGCAGTGCAGGTCCCCTCTACCTTTCCACTTTCAACCTTCCAATCGCGGTTAGGCCAGTTAAATGCGCTGCTTGGCACCCCAAAACATGTCTCCAAACTCCAACCCCCCCAAAATGCTGCAGGCGCCGAGCTTTCCTTCTCGTCACCACCGCTCGGCGCCGAGATCCCCACGACTGCTTGGATCACCGAGCCCTGCACCTGGTGGGACCCCGCCCGACACCACAACGCAGGCGGGACGGTTCTCGGCGCAGGCGGATGAGGGTTCCACACTTCAAAAGGACCAGTGTTGGGGTTTGCTTCAGAGTTCTGGAGTCGGCCGTTTTCAGATCATCATGTTGTGGAGGTTCACTTCATGAGTTTGGCTCCGCGGGCAACGAGACTGATTAGGAAAGGGTGAAAAGTATGCACTTCGTGTCCTCACTTAGTTTCATTTGCCCAAAAGAGTTGCACTTGTAGCCTACCACTATGTGCCATTCACCAAGACTAGCACGGAAGCCTAACCATTTAATCCAGTTCCCAACCTGCTGCGTTTATAATCCTGCCCTAATGCCTACACTCCGACCATGGAAGTGGAGAACCTCCTGTTCGGCAAGGAACATCCTCTTCCTTACGGGGCCATGCCATCCACTTCCATGATGTGTTCGTCCTCTTTGGGTGGACGCTTTGGTCACTCGCCGACTCGGTCCCTCGCGCCCGCCGTGGTGTCACTCGAGGCATCACCGGAGGGTCCTTTCCATCGTTGCCGGCGATCTGGAATGGCTACACTTTGGGCTATTGGAGGCCTGGTCGGGCTTGGGGAGTGACGAAGTCCAAAACGACGGGCTCAAAAACTGGTGGAAGACTGTATTTATTAGATCTTCTGACTCAGGCTCTCAGTTAATTGCAAACTGTTGCAGTGTTTGCAGGTCAGATTGGGGTGTAAGTACGTTGCTCCGAGGTTGAACGAGAGTATAGAAGCTGGCTGTTGTACAACGCAGTGGTTTTGCAGTGGGCTGATGTTCTGGTGTATATGGCAGTTGTTTCTTAGTTGGGCTATGTCTGGATGGCTTGAAAGTTTCCATCTTACTGTTTCCCACATTGGCCACCTAGAATGCAACTTCCAATGGGTGCCCAATGATGGAGACCTATAGGTAGGGTAAGGTTGTCCATTGGTGTCCCGTTGGAAGCACCTGGTAGAATGGAACTTTTGTTTGTATGTTCCACGGTACTTTCATGGGATCGTGCTTTCAAGTGCTGCTTCTATGTTCTCTTATTTTTTTTGTTGAGAAGATTTTGTGGGGGTCACAGTATGCATGCTTGAAAACGTTTTGATCAGGTTTCATCCTTCATTCATTCCAAAAAACGGATGCGTCGGACCGATCCTAGCTGCTCCCGGGAAAACGCGACACGTGGATCGGTGGATTGGCAGGCTGAAACAGGATCGAAACGGACTCCTGTATCTCCTGTGACTCCCTAATTGCTTAACAGCTATACAATTAGGCCATTAACATCTACCCCATAGGCCCATATAGGTCCCCTCACTGCAGGGAAGATGAATAAAGCCTATATAGGTAACTGCATCCCTCCAAAGGGTCGCTCATTGAGACCTTTTGAAGGGTTCAACATGGTTCAACCAATTCGAACGCGTCGACTCGTAAACCAAAAGAGACCGATTTGCGATTGGCGACGAAGTGCTCCTTGAGCGGATCCACCACTTCGTGCTCTCTGCTTCACTCTGCCTCACTGCTTCACTTTTTTCCCTCATGGATCGAATCGAAGTGTCATTTTACTTGATGCCTCAGGCTGCGAGCGGAGTCTGGCTACAAGCAGGTCTTGCTGGTGAAGTTTGAGGAGTTGGTCATGGCCCCGGCTGCTGTGGTCAGCAGGACATCCATTGAACAAAATTACTGTATACCTGTATACCAGCATAGACCCCAAACAGTTTCAAAACGATTCGTTGGGACCAATACTAGTCAAAAACGGTTTCTTGGTACGCCCTACCTTCCCCCCAAGAGCAAATTGCTTTATCAATGATTTTTGTCGGCATCGACATCTCTGATTGTAAGAGAAGAGCAGGACAAGAGGAGGACAAGACCCGGTCACAGAGCCGCCACAGAGTTCACAATCAGTGTGTCCAGGGCTGGTCAGCGCGGCCAGAGGACAAGAGGAGGACAAGACCCGGCCACAGACCGCGGCCACAGAGCCCAGCCACAGAGTTCAGGGGCGCAGCCAGCTCTCTTTTTTACCCAACAGTAACAGTGTGGGCACACTGAGGGGTTCTTGCGGTAAGTGAAAAGCAGGTGTGCTTAGATCGCTGTTCCGCGCGGGCGTGAGCGGCTAATTCGTTGCTATTTACAATACATTCATGCCTCTTGACATCATCAATGTGCACTTCGACTGTGGCTCGTAGAATCTGGGTGGCCGCGGCGGGTGCTTCTAGCGACTGCGCTCTCGTTGTGCCGTGCGCATTTTGGTACATGGTGGTCACTTTTCGTGGCAGGCGCAAGGGAAACCTCGTGCCTATAGTTGGTGCTTCAAAGTCGACTTTTCGTGACAGGCGCAAGGGGTCGGAGCTGTTTTACTTCGAAGTACAGTTTTCGAGGCAGGCGCAGCACTTTGGACATGGTGGTGATCGTGGAGGAGCTCAGATTTCGTGACAGGTGCAGTGACTCGTGACTTTTGGACATGTGGCTCGTTTGCAGATTTCGTGGCAGGCCCAGCACTCTGCAACCCTCGATGTGCAGATTTCGTGGCAGGTGCAGCACTTACGAACCTCGAAGTGTAGATTTCGTGACAGGTACAGCACTTTGTGAACCTCGAAGTGCAGATTTCGTGGCAGGCACAGCACTTGGTGAACGTCAGCCGAGCCCCTTTACCCACTTGTTTTGTCCACCTGCTTTGTGCCTTCAGGGCGATTGCTACGCGCCTACCTCGCCCGCAGACCCCCATGCGGAACAGGCCAAAAGCAAACAATAAACAGACAAACAAACAAACAAACAAGCAACGCCAAAAGTAGGGACACGGTAAAGAGAAGCATGCATTGAATTGTGGCAGCTTCCTTCCCCGACCTCCCCGGCGTGGGAGCCGGAGCCCACCTCGCCGGCGTGCCCAACTTCCCCGGGCCCGGCAGACAGGCCAGATCCAGAAAGAGATGAAACCAAGATTGATGTAGCAGCCTATAGCCTTCGCAAAAACTATGTTTTCATGCTCAAAACGCTATGAGGCCCGGGCAGCGACGTTTGACCGAACAGATGCCCGCTTGCAGTCGGCGGTGGACATGGACGTGACTCCCGACCCCACTTGCTACCGGCGGCTCCGCGCAACCCCGAGAGGCATGCTTGTGACACGATTGTTTTTGTCAACTTGTCAAAACGCTTTTGCTTCATGCCCAGCCGTCGTGAATTGGAAACTTCGCTTCGCCTTGCCGTTTGGCAGGCTTTTGCCCTGGGATTGGAGCGCCGTCATCCCTGGCGCGCTCCGCTCCAGCCGCGTCACCCGGGAGATCAACTCCACGCTTTTCAGCGTGGACTGGGGCAAAAAGGGTGACAAGCCGCGGCGGCTGCAACTCTGGAGCCACAACTCTTCCGGCCTCCCGCTTTCTTTGGAGGCCGCTAACGGTATACCAGAAGTTGGGTATAGTTGGGTATAGTCTTAGTTGGTTAAATTTGGCAATGGGAATCGTAGAGCGGTCAGGGATTTGGGATCGTGATGACGTTATCGTGGAGGTGAGTGTGGGTGTTACTTGTGGAATCTAATTGAGTATTATCTAGAGCCTGGCGAATGTGGCGTTTTGTTTTTCTGGCGGCATTTTGTTCGATGACGGCAATTTTCCACTCTGGTGGCAAAAATTTTGGCAACAATGGAAAGCGGCACTTTTTTCGTCCACCAGGTGGATCTAGGTATGGTTCAATCGAATAGCCAGGTTCGTTCGTTTTGTGTCCGTGCTGTGCGCGGTCGACCCTGGCAAGGCTTTTTCTACGCGGAAATAAGGGCTGGTCATCTATTCCTCCGAGTCCTTGTCCGGCAGCGTGTCGGCGACGAAGGCCTGAAAGTCTTATAGACGGTTTTCGATCAATCAGACGCGCGGCGCGAAAAACTCTACGGCTAGATTTGGTGAGGTTTTGGCCCACGCCGAATCCGCGCAGCACGCCCGGCTCCCCTTGCTGCTGACCCCGTCGGCGTCCGTGCCCATCTCTGCGGAGGCATCGGGGTGTTTGCAAACTATTTTGAAGGGCCTTCTAGGTTTGATGCCTCGGCATCGGAGTTCTGTATTTGTGTTTGGTCGGGCACGCCGCTGTTTTGCCAAGGATGAGACGCACGAGGACCCCTTCCACGGCAAGGTCAAAGTGACCGATGGCCTAGCCGAAGTGGGGCCGAAGCTCGCGGAGGATTGGATACTTAGGTGTCACTTTTTGATTTGTAAATACTTATAAGTCATACTTACGAAAGTTATGTAAGTCTGAAAAAGGACTTACAGAGAATTTACAAAGATTTACAAAAAACCACGTTTGGAGACTGCTTTGGCAGCACTTGCAGCGCGTGGAAATTTGCACGCATAAAGCCATAAAATTCTTGTTTAAAAAACTACGAAATTATAATATCTATGTAGCCGCACGTTTTCTGGATACATATTGTATTTCTTTTGGTCTAAATATGAAACGTACCTGTCAATGTGCACATATCACATCCTGTATATATACTGAAGATTCTTGGGTTTTGCTTTTCATATTTCGGTCATTACCGATTGTCGGTCGTTACCGAAGGTTGACATTGACCGTGGCATTTGGTTTATAGTCAGGGGGTTCGGATTTCAGCTCGAAGGCACCTTCAGATATGGGGGACGAAGAGAAGCCGGTGTCTTTACCCATTGAACAGTACTTTGGCAGTTTTGAGACACACGCAAACATAGCGTACATATTTTCCATTTTAAGCACGACTCGAAAAATCACTTGTGGGAACGGTCATTACCGTGGGTCTTGAATTAGGGTCATTACCCAAAACCACCCCATACCACCCCATAACACCCCATACCACCCCATACCACCCTATACCATCCCTATACCATCCCTATACCATCCCCATACCATCCCCACACCATTCCCATACCATTCCCATACCACCCAAGGTATCCCCATACCATCCCCATACCATCCCCATACCACCCCATACCACCCCATACCACCCTATACCATCCCTATACCATCCCTATACCAGCCCCATACCATTCCCATACCACCCAAGGTATCCCCATACCATCCCCATACCATCCCCATACCACCCCATACCGTTCCCATACCATCCTCTACCATGATCAGTTTTTATTGTGTTCCAGTTGGATGATTGAACATTTCTTCTCATTCAAAGATGCGGCCATTACCGTCCACATGCTGGATATTGAATGCATGAGGCCATGAGGAATCAAACTGCGGAGGACCGTCAGGATACCGAAACCAGTGGTCAACTGAATTATGAATTGGGTGAACATTTTTCCAGTTGGATGCTTGCGGTAAAAACGGTCATAACCGTGCACTGTGAATTTCGGTGATTACCGATGGATCGGTCATAGCCGTTTTTGAGGTCCATGCAAATATGTTTCAGTTCATGGCACTTTATTTCTAGGGGCATTGTCTTTAGAACCTTCGAGCCACCCATGATAGTATGTATACGTCCACACATATCGTCCACATATCTATTCAGACGTGCGGCTACATAGATATACATCCATACTATGCTATGATACTATTTCTGAAAGTTAGCAAGTGCAACAAACCCAAGAAGCACAAACAAAAACTTTCAGCCAAGGCTGACCTTTCCTAATTCAAAAGCCAGAGAAAGGTTGCGTCGCCAAGAAGCACAAAAGGTGCAGTTTTATCTCACAAAGTCGGCTTTGCACGCAACAACCAAAATGGCGCTTGCTCACAGTTTAACCACAGATATTTGCAATCATCATTCTTCAAAATCTGCCTTTTGCATTTCATAGCACAAAAAACTCAAAAAAAATAATTTTAGAAACACTAAAAAATAAGTCTTTTGGAATTTACAAAAATTATGAAATAGTTTTTGTAGATTTTGTAACCATACTTATAATCAACTACAAATTCAAAAGTGACACCTAAGTAGGAAGTCCATGTTTGTGTGTTTGTTCCGTTTTGTTCTATTTTCTGGACCCCATCTTTTTCTGGCCTTTGTCAGGAGCTCAGGCTTCTGGTGGGCGTCGCCAAGGACGGTATATAGGAAACTTTACAAAGCCGTCCACTTCCGCTGCATCCTTCGCGAAAGCCTTGCGAATCACATGTTTCTAGGCGCGGCTGGCACAGTTGATTGCCTTATAGGTTTCATGCGCCCGCAATTTGGTGTTTTCAGGCAAGGGCATGCTCATGGTGAACGGGGACGGCGCCGTCGACCCGTAAGCATCCGCTTCCGGGACTCAAACACCATCCGCTCAGCAAAGTTGCTGGCCTTCGAAAAAAGAAATGTGTTCTCCGACAGCGGCCGGAATTAAGTTTCGCCATCATTGTTTCAGGTCAAGATGAGTTGGCCCGTAACACCTGGCTCCATTGTGCCACCTTTGGCCATGGACGTCGTGAAGGCTGGTCAGTTTGCGGGCTTACTTTGAAATAGTTTCGCGGACGCTTGTTTCTTGAAAGGGGGTTTCTGAACGCAGGACACGGAGAACGCCAACCGGGCATCGTGCATCACCCCGCACATGGCCCAAGTAATGATGCTCCGAATTGCCCTTTGCAAGGACGCTGAGGCAGCTGGCTATTTTGTCTGTTTTGCGGCGCGCCGCCGAATTCCATCAGTTGCTTTTTTCGCGTGTGAGAGTGTGAGGGAGTGTGAGTGTGATTGAAAGTGGGAAAGTCAGAGTGGGAGAGTGAAAGAGTGAGCATCTGAGAGCACAAAGTACTGCGTCTGCCACGAAATCTGCACTTCGAGGTTCACCAAGTGCTGTGCCTGCCACGAAATCTGCACTTCGAGGTTCACCAAGTGCTGCGCCTGCCACGAATTCTGCACTTCGAGGTTCACAAAGTGCTGTACCTGTCACGAAATCTGCACTTCAAGGTTCACCAAGTGCTGCGCTTGCCACGAAATCTGCACTTCGAGGTTCACTAAGTGCTGTGCCTGCCACGAAATCTGCACTTCGAGGTGCACAAAGCGTCACAACATCTGCACTTTGAGGTTCACAAAGTGCTGTACTCTCGCACTCTCACTCACACTCACCCTCACTCTCACCCACACTCACCCGCACCCACCTTCACTCTCGCTCACACTCACTCACTCTCACTCTCACGCACACTCACTCACCCACCTTCAGTCTCACTCACACCCACTCTCACTCTCAAACACACACTCCCTCACACTCTCACTCTCCTACTTTCACTCACACTCACACTCCCTCACACTCTCACTCTCACGCACACTTACTCTCGCACTCACACTCACTCTCCCACTCTCACTCACACTCTCACTCTCACCCGCACTCACTAACACCCACGTTCACTCTCACTCACGCTCACTTACACTCGTCACTCTCACTCTCACTCTCACTCTCACACACTCACTCTCCCACTCTCACTCACACTCCCACTCTCACACTCACTCACACCCACCTTCACTTCATCACCACCATCACCTGTCTGGACCCCAATGCGTCTAGATCTCTCTAGACTTTCTGCTTACAGACCTCACACACACTCTGTTTGGGGTCTCTTGCCGGGATAATTTTCTGAGATAGAACCCCAACAGTAAACTGTTTGGGGAATCAGACATGGTGGAGGAGGCCGTTAGGTGTTTCGACGTGTTCCCTTCAACGGTTCTTTCTTCGGTGGACTCTTCCTTTTTGAAGCAAGGATGTTTTACAACTTCATTTGGAGCTTGGGTTTCTTGGTTGAGACTCAAGTGACAGGAGGTGGACCCAATTGCCGCCCCTTGGGATAAAATTCGTTTTTGCGTGGCGGTACATTCAGAAGTCAACTTGAGTGACCCAAATAGTGCTTGGGGCTTCCTGTACCATAGTTTCCCACCTCATGGGAACCTCTTAACCTCATTTCCGTGATGCACTCAGGTTCCGTTACGACGCTTTACCCATGTCTACCCCACACTGCCCGCACCTTCGCAGGATCTCCGAAGCCATGGACATGCGGGTCCACAGTGAGGCGGCGACCGCAAGCTCGGGTCGGTTTCGTCGAGAAGATGGCATCTGGGGATCCGGTCGGTTTCGTTGAGAGATCCAAAAGCTTCCGGGAAACCGAAATACACGTGTTCATCTACCATGCCACCAGGTGTTGGTACAAACTATAGTAACGACTATAGGGTAGGTTCGCAGAAAACCTCTCTGACCATGGGCCATGTGAAGATGAAGCGCGATTCCTCACATCCACCAGATGTGAGGTTTTTCTGGATCCAATTAATGTTTCTTCTAGAACCTTCCATGACCCTGCCGCCCTGCCGACCTGACCCTGCCCGAGTCCGTCACGTATGAGTTTGCACCCGGCCGGAATCGAGGACGTGGCGGTGGCCGAGAGGGCGGCCAAGGCGCATGGGAAGGCCAAGGACCGTAGACGCTCGGCCCAAGCCGAAGCGAGGAACTCGGGCGTGGAGACGCAGGACGCCTCGAGGGGGTGGGAAGTTGACATCCTGAGATACTTGACACACTAACACACAGCTATGTTCAAGAAGTGAAGTAATTCCGTAATACAGTATTACATTATTTGTTGTGTTTTTTCACTTTCCTAGGTTGAATAATGTTGAACTATGATGAGCTATGGCTTGGACATTACACCACATACCAGGGTCTTGAAACAAGATTCCACAAGTATGAACCAGATTCCCTTTGTTGTGCGACCATGGCGCCTGCAGGGATGGATGGTGACCCGTGAGGATCTTCTACCATCCAGTTATTCATGAGGGGTTCTCTACCAGGTCAAATGGCCGTAGACCAAGTCGTTTGTTTTTGGGCAAGGCCTGTTTTTTTCTTTACGCCCGCACAGGCTTGTGCACTGAACAGAGCCTGCTGATAGTCATTTCAATGTCAAATCCAAGTTGCCAATTGCTTTATTGGGGGATATGATGGGCTTTTAGCATCGAAGCTGACTTTTGCCACAAACAAGGCAACAAGCAGCAAGGCACAAGGCAAATTAAACCAAACGCACTTGCCCAGTCGCCACCAGTCCCCAGCTGAGATGCAGCCATCAAGTCCTTGGAATCACGAGACTTCGTGAAGAGCTACACCGCCAAGGACAGCAGCTGTGCAATTCTTCTTCATCCTGCGCCCGTTGTTCTTTTTCGACCTCGGGGCTGTCATGCTTCGATGCGAGTCGTATGACCTCACCGTGCTTCGGTGGTCCCGAGTCACTGCGCACCACGAGAGAATCGCTTCGCTTCGCCTCGGTCGTTTGGGCGTTTGGCTGCCTGCTTCGGTGCATGGTCGGTGCTGGTGGCCTTCGCGTGCCGTGCCGCAGTCGTAGGAATTGAAGGCCACGTGCATCCGCTTGAATTTCAGCCTGGCCTCGAGCGTGGGGTATCGATTGACGGAGTGTGAGGACTTCAAGGCCTGGAGGTTGGTTTGCAACGGGGGGGTTTTGGATGGCTAAACGGTCCGCACATCGAACGGTCCAAAACAAGAGAGAGGGGTGTGTGTGTCCACCCCTGGACAAAGGGTTTTCCACCGCTACTCCTTC